CTTGTGTGTGCATGTGTGCATACCCACATGTGCCATGAATGTGTGTGTTGGTCCTGGGGCTTGAACTCAGGGCCCAAGTGCCACAGCTCCACTTCCAGTTTTCTGAGTTAATTGGAGATAAGAGTCTCATGGACATTCTTTGCAGGGCTGGCTTTGAGCCGTGATCCTCAGATCTCAGCTTCCTGAGTAGCTAGGATTACAGGTGTGAGCCATGGGTGCCTAGCTAGCTGTGCTTTTTAAATGTGTCCTTGGCTACCATGCACACCACTCATCTACTTGGCATGTCTTTCCTCCATATTCCCACATCCTATTCAGATCACCCAGAACTTAGAGGCTGTTTTCTTTATAACCCAAGTGAAGCACTAGAGATATAAAATCATTAGTCTCTTAGGTTTGCAATTCACAGTGTTTCCAGTTTGTTCTTCAATATTTCCAATGCAGCCCCTTCCCTTCCCTTCCTTTTAGACCCAATTTATGTCACTTGTATTTCCCGAAGGTGTTTGGTTGCTTGCTTTATTGGTTAAAAAAAAATTCAGTCTGGGCACATTGCCTGTCTGCCTTCCAGATCACACTGGTACAGGCAAGCCTGTGTTCTCTGCCAGTGTCTTAAAATGATTTCTGGCTGCCATTTCCTCCATTTCAGATAGAGGAGGGGGAGTAATCCCTAGAGATTTTCCTGGTTATTTTTGCAAGGAGGTGGGAGGTGAGGAGCTTAACACCTTAGTGGAATCTATGAACGATTTCTCTAGAACTCCGTCATCCTACCTTTGAAAAAATGGAAGGATTGGAGAGAACTAATTTTGGGGGGTGGGAGAAGATGGCATTTAGTTGGATTTGAAAAGGAAATTGAGAGTACTATATAGAAACTGTTTGCAAAATATAGTTGAAAATAGTCATCAATGAGCTGAAGGCTGACTTGACAAAATAGTCACTGTTTATAATAATCCATGGCAAGGTGAGTATTGGGCACCTGAAATACACGAATGCTACCTGTAGCTCATTGTGTCCTAAGACATCAGAGCCTGGCGTTTGGTGATAGAAGCAAAGGAGAGATAGACTGAAGGACCCACATTTTACAGATTGTTCACCCCAATCTTAAAGGATCCAATGGATTGCTCATAATATTTAATGCCACCTTCTAAATGCTAAAAAGGAGAAGGGGAAAAAAAGAACCAATACACACTTGGCAGGATTGAGTAGTAATTTATTGTGATTGGCTTTGTCCAGCTTTGAAAACTAAGGCATTGATATTAAGAACTAAAGAGAAATTACATAGAGCTGGTGTGATTGGGGGGGGGGAAGTTTGGTTCTTTCTAGTGATTTTTGTTTTGTTTTGTTTTAAATGCCATAAAGCTTTAAAAGCATGCTTCATTGGATCTTATCCAAATCTCCCAGGACAGGCCTAGGAGACCTTTTTTCCTATTGAGGGCCACTGACCCACAAAGAAAAGAAAAGAAAAGAAAAAAAAAACTAATCAAGGGCCATGTATAAAAAGCAACTTAATTTATGTGTCCCCTTAGAAAAGCATAAAGCCCTCACTTTACCTGTTTTTTAAATTAAGAACATGGAACTCTGATTGAGTACAACAAATAAAAACCTGTCAGTTTCACATTCTGTTCAGTTAAGAGGTGGAGTGGAGTTTTTTTTAAAGACAATTGGCAGTGTGAAGAGAGGATGGAAAGCCGTTGAGAGGAGCTGAAGGGCCTAGAAGAGATAGAGACAGGAAAGTATGTGTGTTCACGCTCATGGTTGCAGGGAATAAAAGAGAATTGTACTTCCTAACTATTGTCTATGGAGCTGCTCGATTCACTGGTGAACTGCCATTGTCAACAGTCTGTGGCTGGAATCCTGAGACCTGTCCAAGAATATTTTTTTGTGGGGGAGAATAGAGAGTTGCACTCAGTTCCTGGATGTTGTCCTTTCGAACCCCCACTCTCTATCCTCTATCCCCAAGGCTGGCAGTCTACCATTTGAACCACAGGAATATTTCCAGGATTTTTTTTTTTTTTGGTGGACTTGACTGCCCAAGCTGGATTCAAAGTCATCTTCAGATTTCAACCACCTGACTGGCTGGGATTATAGGCATAAGCCAATAATTCCTCTGTGTGTGTGTGTGTGTATGTGTGTGTGTATGCGGTGTGTATGCGTGCTCGCGCGCGCTCGCGCATGCATGCTAGTCCTGGGGCTCAAACTTAGGGCCTAAGTTCTGTCCCTGAGCTTTTTGCTCACTCTACCACTTAAACCACACATCACTTCCAGCTTTTTTTGTGTATGGTACTGAGGAATTGAACTCACGGCTTTGTGAATGCTAGGCAAGCACTCACACTCTACCACTAAGCCATATTCCCAGCCTTGTCCCTGAGCTTTTGTGTTCAAGGTTAATACTATACCACTTGAGCCACAGTGCCACTTCCTTTTTTTTTGGTAGTTAATTGGAGATAACAGTCTCAGGGACTTTCTTGTCTTGGCTGGGTTTGAACCTTGGGCCTTCAGATTTCAGCTTCATAAGTAACTAGAATTATAGGTTTGAGCAACTGGTGCCTGGCATAATAATAATTCTTTTATTATTATTATTATTATTATTGCCAGTCCTGGGGCTTGAACTCAGGGCCTGGGCACTGTCCCTGAGCTTCTTTTGCTCAAGGCTAGCACTCTACCACTTGAGCCACAGTGCTACTTTTGGCTTTTTCTGTTTATGTGGTACTGGGGAATGGAACCCAGGGCTTCATGCATGCTAGGCAAGCACTCTACCACTGAGCCACCTTCCCAGCTCCTGGCATAATAATAATTCTTTTTTTTTGTGGTCCATGTTATTACTTATTTTATTTTATTTTTTGAAATTTTATTTTATTTTATTTGTGAACATACTGTACAGAGGGGTTACAATTACATGGGCAGGATAATGCGTACATTTCTTACCAAGCATTGCAGCCTCCTCCTTTGGTTTACCCTTCACATCCCTTCCCAGCCTCCCCCCTTCCCCCCCAAAATATATTTCTTTTTTTTTTTTTGATCCGGTCGTGGGGCCTGAACTCTGGGCCTGGGCGCTGTCCCTCAGCTCTTCAGCTCAAGGCTAGCACTCTACCACTTGAGCCACAGTGCCACTTCCGGCTTTTTGCTTATGTGGTGCTGAGGAATCGAACCCAGGGCCTCAGGCATGCAAGGCAAGCACTCTACCACTGAGCCACCTTCCCAGCCCAATAATAATTCTTAATAAATGAAGGATGTGCATTCAAAAGGTGCTACCACACAGTGCCTACCGACCTGTCTCAAATCCATTGTGTTCTCCTTGAGTTCAACTCAGCCCAAAGGAAAAGCCCGGGCCTCTCTCATAAATCAGCAGTGGAGAAGATCACTAGACTTGAAAAAAAAGGGAGGTGGTCCCTAGAAAGAACAAAAAAAGGGCATTTTTCCTTTACACACTGCATTTTAGAAGCAATATAAAACACATAAAGGAGAATGCCTTTCAAATAATATGTATTCCTTGGTTTTCAAAAGAAACCATTAGGGTGATTAAAGTAAAAATAGTCTCAAAGGTCTTCGTTTCTTTAAGATGTTCCTCTTTGCGGTGCTGAAGATGGTAAACCAGGGCATCCTGCATTCTACCATCCAGCCTCACCCCGCCCCCAGGCCTGAAATATTCAAGTGAAAAGAAAAAAGAAACAACTCAAGTTCTCAGAGATTCTTACTAGAACCCAGCTGTCATGGGAAGTTCCAATCAAGTCAGTGCCTCTTTTCCTCCTTGTCCTTCTCATCAACATGAATTGATGGTGGCATCGAATCCCCAGTTAGTCTTAAGTACGTCTTGGGATTTCATTCAGAAGCTTGTCTTAAAGCTTGCATGTGTCTCAGGGCTTTTGGCGAAAGGAAAAAAAAAAGATCAAATTACATTTTCAAGGAAGGCTATTTATAAATGCAGACAGAAGAAGGGATGTGTGCAAGACTATGTGGCCCAAGGTGTAGGATGCTTGAAATGAGAGAATGTTCCATGGAGGAGAAGATGGCATTGCCAACCGAAACATGAGCCAAGGATCACCCCTGTGTTCTTCCTTCACCCCGGGCAAACCTTTCATCACTGTACTTAAGTCTTCCTGGAAAGAGCTTGTCCCTAAGATGAAAGTGTACTCGGCTTTTTTTTTCTTTAAATTTTTTTTTATTAGGTATTGCCAAAACAAAGATGTACTCTTATAAGCAGGTCTGCCTGAGATGGGACTGAAGGCCTCGGTGGCTGAATTATGCGGTGGATGGGCGCAGCCATGCTGGGCCTTGTACTTGTGCCAGGGTAAACGGCCCTGATTCCTTTCAGCAGGATAGCAGTGAAACTGTTGAAGGCTCCTACCCACTTTTGAAGGGTGTATTCTCAGTGTAAAATTCCTGTGGGTAATTTTTAAACCTCACGGCGTCTAATGCCTTTATTCAATGGAGAAAATGATTCTTCACTGTTTTCTTGATATTTTCTGGTCTCCAAGTCCTCTGTGTGTGTGGAGGGGGAGGGTGGAAGGAGAAATGCGCATGTGTACATGCATGTAACTTCCCATGCACACTGGGGACGGGGGAGGGGAGAAAACATGGGCTTTACCTTTGACCTTAGAAACCTATTTTGATCACGTGAAATAAGACCTGATATTCGTGAACCTTGTAAAGACTAGATGAACAAAGTCATGAATGATTTTTGCCTTAGATATTCAGTGCAGATCATCTCAGCATCTTTGCAGGACCAGGGAGAACAATCTAGATGATCATGAGCCTTTTTTTTAGCCCATGACAATCTTTTAAAAAGTATTTGGTCTGGGCACTGGTGGCTCACACTTGTCATCCCAGCTATTCGAGAGGCTGAGATCTGAGGATGGTGGTTCAAAGCCAGCCTGGGCTATAAAATATTGTTGGACACATGGGGTGTCTGTACCCTTACGGAAATGAAGCAGAGTGTGTGCACACTAGTCAAACCCTTCCCTTTTGCACTTGATAGAGATTGACAGTCCTACTTTTTATCTCCCCAGGTGATCATCTGAAGATCTGTCCCCAGGGCTATACCTGTTGCTCTCAAGAGATGGAGGAGAAGTACAGCCTGCAAAGTAAAGACGATTTCAAAAGTGTGGTCAGTGAGCAGTGCAACCATTTGCAGGCTATCTTTGCTTCCCGGTACAAGAAGTTTGATGGTATGTGATTCAAGTCATATTTCAGAGCTAAGTGTGGTGGCACACACCCATAAGGCCAACTACTCAGGAGGCAGAGGTAGGAGGATCGCAGTCTGAGGCCCACTTGGGCCCCATAAACAAACTCAAGCAAAAAAGGCACAGCCCAAGCTCCTCTGTTCTCTCTTTGTATGTCTTCTTGTAAAATGTTTCCTTATTGACTACCACAGGCAATTTAGCCAAGTGGCTTTATTGCTAGAATTTTTTTTTTGCACTGGCATCTGTATAATAGACATTATTGAAATGTGGTCAATAGGAATTAAAAAATGAAAGAAAGAATAGATTAGTTCAATTTAGATGTGTTTCCCTGCACCCCTTGGTGGATGTAACATAATATTGTTAATGCAAGTCATGAGGGGGAGGGTAGGAGACACCTAAAACTTCCTAATAAAAAGCAAGCATCTGAAAGCTACCTTACTATATAAAAAATGGAGAGATTCTGTACATGCTGGACTTCAGATTCAATTTCCAACTGGATTCTGAAAGACAACTAGAATTCCTCACAGCTCTACAGAACGCAGGCTGAAAAAGCTCAGTTGTGGAATGGCTTTGCAGCCCCGGTGAACCAGTGGCGCTGTGCCTGTCGTCATTAGTAAGCAGGCTTCCACCCCAGCCTCCTTCTGAACTGGGCCTTGGCCTAATCTCCACCATGGAAAAGCCGCAGTGGATTCCATTCAAATTCATCCTGTTAGACATGGCCTCTCTCCGATACCCCTTATGTCATAGTCAAGATATAACCAAACCTGGTGTAGTGGCTCATGCCTGTAATTCTAGCTACTCAGTAGGCTGAGATCTGAGGATCATGGATCAAAGCCAGCCAGGCCAGAAAAGTCTGTGAGACTCTTGTCTCCAACTCACCCATAGAAAACCGTAAGTGGTACTATGGCTCGAAGCGGTAGAGTGCTAACCATGAGCACAAAAACTTAGAGACAGCACCCAGACCCTAACTTCAAGCAACCATGACCAACCAAAAAGCAAAAAGAAAAGAAAAGAAAAAGAAATAGCCAAGCTCAAGCCGCGTTACAGATAACAGACTTTAAAAAAAAAAAGAAAGAGCAGGAGGCTGGGTACTGGTAACTCATAAGAGTAATCTTGCCTACTTAGGAGGCTGTGATCTGAGGATTATAGTTCAAAGCTAGCCTGGTCGGAAAAACCCATGAGACTCTTATCTCCAGTGGATCACCAGAAAACCAGAAGTGGCACTGTGGCTCAAGTTGTAGAGCACTAGCCTTGAGCAAAAATACTTAGGGACAGCACCCAGGCCCTGAGTTCAAGCCCTAGGATTGGGGCGCACGCACACACACACACACACACACACACACACACACACAAAATGAGGTCCAAACACCTCAGCATTTTCCCCCCTGTGGTGTTTGTCACTCACTATGAAGATGGTTGTGGGTAGATTTAATTTCCATCAGAATGATTTCCTTTGTGCCTGTTTTAAAAAGGCCATTCTAATTACATAGTACCTTTGAAGCATGCTTTTCTTGACATTATGTGTAGTGAAGAAGTACCAGGCAAATTTTCTAGATGTGAAATGTCTTTGAGTATTTCTGCAAAGGGCCGGTTACCATGGTGAGAAGTTAAGACTTAAATTAGATTTGGCATAGCTGATAAGGCACAACTCAGCTATTACAACAGGTTGCACTTCAAGTGTTCCTTTTGAGATTTGTTATTTAAAACTTATAAGTCATTTAAATAAGTGTTACGGAGTTTTCCAGGCTAGACTATAACAGGTTTTATTTATTTATTTTTTGGGGGGTTTAGTCAGTCACTGGGCTTGAACTCAGAGCCTAGGTGCTGTCCCTGATCTTTTTTGCTCAAGGCTAGTGCTCTACCACTTGGAGCCACAGTGCCACTTCTGGTTTTCTGGTGGTTCATTGGAGATAAGAGTCTCAGGGGCTTTCCTGCCCAGGCTGGCTTCAAACCAGCATCCTCAGATCTCAGCCTCCTGAGTAGCTAGGATTATAGGCATGAGCCAACAGTGCCTAGCTTAGCATTTTTAATATATAATGAATTTGAACTAAAATACTGTCTGAGTATTTTACTATGGACAATTGGTCTTGCCTGATTTTTCAAACTGTGTACATATACCTGTTTGGCTTTTTTGTAATAGCACAGACTCAAACCAAGGCCCCTGCACATACTACTCCATCCATTCTCTACCACTGAGCTACACCCTTAGCCTATTTGTTCTTAATTCTGTCTCCTTTTCTCTTAATAAGTGTGAGAAAGTCAGTATCTCTATACATCATCATTATTACTTTAATATGCATGTTATACCTGTTAGACTATTTAGCACTATACTGACACCACAGGAAACTGAATTTTGTTGACAAAATCATTGTTACTGCCTCTGCTTCCCAACTCATTATTACTGTTGAAAAGAGTATTTTCTTTTTCTCCTCCTTCCCCTCACCCCACCCTTATAGTTTGATTTCTATAATACAGGCCTGGACCTTGCTATGTATCCCAGGCTGGCTTAGAACTTGTGATCCTTCTGTCTCAGCCTCCTGAGTACTGGGATTACAGGCATGTACTACCCTGCCTGGCAAGACTGATGTCCTTGTCTCTATAACATTTCTCATTCAAGATAAGAACTTAAATGTTTCCTTTCACTCTGGGGAAGAAATGTAGCAAGATTATTAGATGGGCATCTTTGAAACCTTGAGACGGTGGTTCTTAAAAATGGCCACAAAGAGACTTCATCATAGAATTCAGAAGGGAACATAAATCTTGTTCTTTTGTAATGGCTCTCCTGTTAGCAGGATGATGTGGTAGAGATAAAGCTATTTCCAACGCTCAAGGCACCCTTCTTATTAGATGTGTCAGTTTGTGGAGTAGAAACAGAGTGCTTACACATAGGGCCTGCTGGTTTAGCTATTTTTTTCCCCTTCCCGTTCCCCAGGGTTTTATTTCAGTACTCCTGTGATCCCAATGTGTCAGGGTTTTTTGGGTTTTCTTGTAAGAAAGCCATACGGAGAAATTTTATCCATGTTAGCATATGTTTTTTGTTTTTTTTAAATTGTAGCTTTATCACTTTCCAAACATAGGAGACCAAGTGACAATGAAATGCCAGTTTCTTTCTTTTTTTTTCTTCTTTATGTAGTTGTACAAGGAGTTGCCATTGCACAGAGCAGTTTATGAATACAATGTATCTTGATCCGTGTTACCTCTTTTAATATTCTCACCCACCCCTCCTGACCCACCTGTCCATCATTCTTCTCATTTTGTGGGGTACACATCCAGTTTATTTTTTCTGACTGCAAATTAAAATACAGCATGGACAATGAAGTTAATGAGCACCAATTAACCTTTTAGTGTGTGTGGAGGGATAGTAGCTGAAATGTATTTGGAGATCCGAACAGCTGAAATTCTTTGAAGATTTTTTTAAAAAAATATTTGTGTGTTTGGTTGGTTGCTGGTGGGGTTTGAACACAGGACCTGAGCTCTTTTGCTGAAGGTGAGCACTCTACCACTTGAGCCACAGCTCCACTTCCAGTTTTCTGGTAGTTCTTTGGAGATAAGAGTCTCATAGACTTTCCTCCTAAGAATGGCTTTAAATCACGATTCTCAGTTGCCAGCCTCTTGACACAGGCAGGATTACAGGCATAAGCTCCTGGCACCTTGGTGTTGATCAGTTGATTTTTAAGGCTACTAGCACCTTGCTGACATTTTCAAGACCTAATCAAGGATGAGGAATAAAGTACTTTAGTGGTGAGTGTCTCAAGTCTCAGAAATTCAAATTCGGTGGTAGGTTCTTTTATTAAGGAATTGTCCAAATAATTATAAAAAGCCAAATCTTGAGGCTGATACAAATAGAAGGGAGGAAGTGTTGGAGAGAGCAGCAAGATGGTGGCTGAGGAACTGAGAAGGGCAGCCAAGGTTGCACAAGGACAGCCAGGGACACTCAGTGAGGAAATAGACGACACACAGAAACATTGAAGCCCAGCATTGGTGGCTGTATCAGTAATCGTAGCTATTCAGGAGGCTGAGATATGAGGATCACAATTCAAGGCTAGCTCCAGCAGGAAAATCCATGGACTCTCATCTCCATTGAAGCAAGAAAAAAAAAAAACCAGAAATGGAGATGCGCTTCTTAAGTAGTAAGAGTACCACCAGCCTTGAGCAAAAAAGGCAATTTAAGTGTGTGATGCCCTGAGTTCATGCCCTAGGACCAGCAGAAAAATCAACATGTAGCTGGGCACCAGTGGCTCATGCCTGTAATCCTAGCTACTCAAGGAAGCTGAGAACTGAGGATCGCAGTTCAAAGCCAGCCAAGGCAGGAAAGTCCATGACTCTTATCTCCAATTAATCACCTGAAAACTGGAAGTGGCGCTGTGGCTCAAGTGGTAGAGTGCTCGCCTTGAGCTGAAGAGCTGAGGGACAGCGCCCAGGCTAAGTTCAAGCCCCACGACTGACAAAAAAAAAAATGGAGCAAGCAGGATTAAAGGAGCATTTGTGGCCATCTCTTAAGAATGTTCCATTTCATCCATGCTTATCATGTTGTGAGGTTCTGCTTTTTCCTAAGGCAAGAACGATTATGTTTACATTACCTTCTTCATAAAACTCTTACTTTCGGAGCTTGCCTTCTATTACCAGAAATGATCTCCATTGTCCAGTTTTCCATCCTCCCACTTTGGTTGACCCTAGATCAGCTTCTCATGCCTGCTCTGGGCTTTTCAAACCAACAGATTTGAGGAGCAAATCTTTTTTTTTTTTTCCAGTTCCTTTGATCTCTTAAGGCTTTTTGTTGTTGTTGTTCTATACTTTCAATTTTCTATCGCTTCCACAGCTTAAGGGACTGTGTAGTATATGAATTTAGTGTGTTTTATGATCCTGTGTGTGTGTGTGTGTGTGTGTGTTTCCAATGAGAGAATACTTTTTTTTTCTTTCAGCATCTTATCTCCTTTTGCAAAGTTCCCATGATTCCTGTGCTTTAAGTATGTGCCTCTGAATTT